TATCAGTTTCCCCCTTCCTGACAACTTGGTAGAACTCTGGATTTTTAGCTAGGGTGCATGGCCTCCCAACATGAAGACTACATTTCCCAGCCTCCCTTGGAATTAGGTATGGCCTTGTGACTAAGTTCTAGCCAATGAGATATGAGCAAAAGTGACTTGTATAACTTCCAGGGTGTATTCCTTGGAATACACCTTTATCTCTTTTCCTGCTGACTGAAATACTGACACATGATGAGCCACTCTGGACCACACGGAAAGCACGTCACCAAGGGATGGTGAAGCAACAACAGAGAAGGGGCCTGGGTTCCTGGACAACCCCATGGGCATTCTACCTAGGACTGCCTGCCTCTGGGCTGTTATAAGGTGGAGAACTAAACTTCTGTCTTGCTTAAGATATTGTTAATTAAAAGTGAAGTTATATCTCAACTAATATAGGCACCTATTATATTTTGCTATTATGATAAATTTATATATTAATTTAAGAAATAATATCTTTATTATAGTCATTTGGCCAAGAGACAGTTGTATCTCATTATACACTTCATTTCCATTCAAGTTGTGTCATTTCCTCTGAACAAAATCTTTTATCAAACTGACATTCAAGTATTTAATCTTTCTGCTCCTAGAAACAATTTCTCCATCAGTTCTAATTTTAACTGTGTAGCACTACAGTGCAGGATTTTTGTAGACAAGTATCCTTCTGAAGAGTTTCAAAAAACAGTCCCAAGTACCTCACTAGTAAACCCTTCCTGAAGAACAACTGAGACCCTGGAACGTTTTTAAACACCACAACTTGAGGTTACTCAGATGCATGGCCAGCCAAGTGGTGGGAACCAGCAGGCTACCTGGAACCTATATGTATATAAAACAGACATTCTAAGATGTCTCTGTTTTTACAACCAGAATGACACATGATTTGCGCCGAGGTGGACCTCCAGCAAACCCAGAGACCGCAGTGTCAGAGAGAAGCGGGTCTCCACCTCTGCCTGTCACTGGTGTGCTGGACAGCACTGCCCCGCAGGCTGTAAGCCTGTGAAATTTCCTTCCTCAGACTGTGGCCAGCCGGCTTCCTGCTGAGCTGTGACTGGGGGATGTCCTGGTAGAAGACTGGAAGACAAGAGGAGGAAGCAACCTTTCCAGGCCCCTGACGCAGTGCAGGTTCTGACAGGGGTGGTGACAGTCACAGGCAAGGGAGGGCGACTACATGTGACTCCACAGCATCAGTGGGCATCCAGTGTCTGCGGTTTCTACTTGAGAGAAGTGATGGCATCTCCAGAAGCTTTGTGACAAGTACAAGCCTCAGCCCCGGGTGACAGAAGCTTCCTGATCTCTGGCTGACACTTCTCTCTCACTTTGCTATCTCCAGGCCTGCCGATGTCTTTGTGATCAATCCCCTGCATGAAAACCCTCCCTGCCAGAAGCATCAGCATCGTTTCTGGTTTCCTGCTGGACAGTGACTAGTATATCAGATGATGCTCTCGTGCCACTTTCAGGAAAGTGGGCTTGTTCAAGGAAAGGAGGGACTCTGGGGGTGACAGCAGGTCTAGTCCTGCTCATATGCTCCAAAAAAAAAAAAAAGCTGTTTTGTTTTTTTCTAATCATACTGGAGAGGACCTCATGAGAAGGAGTATGAGAACACAGTATCTACAGCCCGTCACCTGGGCTCAGCTCCTCCACCTACCAGTGGGGAAACTTTGGGCAAATCACTGTAACTCCTGCAGCTCCATTTCCTCATCTGTAAAATGGGTGTAGCAATATTACCGACTTCATAGAATTCACATGGAGAAAGTGATTGCACATCATAAGCACCATGTACTTGCTGGCTGTTGTTACTATTATCCCACAGAAAGGGAACTTACAGGCACCCAGTCTCATTTGATATGCTTCATCTGTTGGGGCTTTAAGGCTCTTGTGCCTTTTGGTCACCCTCACTTCCAGCCACAGTTTTGGCTCCAGCCCTATCATGGAGAAACTCCAGCCCTTCCTGGTATCTCCGGAGAAACAACATCCTCTTGAAGCCCCTCACATACTCCTCCAAACCCTTTCTCAACCTGCAGAACCTCTCAATGCTCAGTGCTCACTGGTCACTGGCCCCTCGCTGTCACTGCTCCCTGCGACGGCCAAGCTGTTTCCAGCCTGCCTACCTCCCTTCAACCAGTCTACACACCATGCCTCGGATACCTTGGAAACACACCTCCTTTAAAACTTCTTAAATCTTCCCTTGCACTCCCACATGCACATCTTATGCCTCCAGGGTCCTGGTCTCCACCCCCAGCACAATCTCCTCCTTGAATACCACCAGATTCCACCACCAGCCTTTAACCCATGTCCTCAAGGGAGTAACCCCTAGACCCAACTCCCTGTGCAGACCTGTCACCCAAGCTCAGACTATGTGTCCAACAACCTGCCTACGGTCTTCATCTCAGACAACAGTACAGAGCAGAACCTGGCATTGCCTCTATTCTTCACATTATTTTGAAGGTGCACCATCCACTCAGCCACCCAAGCTGCAAACCTTCCCCTTAGGCTTCTCTCTTTCATTCCCAGCCCCGATCGATCTCCAGGGCTTCTCGATCATAATCAACAATTGTGGATAAATTTATTTTTCATTTTGCATTCTGTGCATTACCGTTTTAATCTCTGCAAACTTAAAGACATTTTCATGGCGGGAGGAAGGGTCCTTCCCCTAGGATGAAAAGAAATTTGAAAACCACTCAAATGAAAAATATTTTTAGGAACCCTGAAGCATCTCTTAGTGTGTTGGGGACACTATATCATAAATGAAGCACTTAAAGGCAAAAAAAAAAAAAAAGTAGTAGGAACTGTAAGTTTCTAAGTTACTATATTTTGTGGGGGGGTCTGCTGAGTTGGGAAAAAAATATATTTATGCAGAAGCAAAATGAAGAACATTGACACTCAGCAAGTCCTGGTGGTCTGAGCTCCCCCTGCCACTGTGTGGAAGCCGCATGCCTGGCTCTACCTGAGCATCAGGGGTCTTCAAAAAACTGGTGAGTGAAATCAACAGATGAAGGATGACCGCAGTATTCCTAGAGCTTCCGAGGG